GTTTGGTCTTTAATGAAGTTTAGACACGTAATGAAATGTATAACAAGAAAAAGAAAGGCTTGCTTGATGATATACTTTATCTCCAAATAATAAAACAACAAACATGCGACTTTGATTTCATTGTACTTCAGATTGGAGTATGTTTTAGTTCTGAAGGGAAATGGATTGACGCAACCTAGTAACACCCTGATTTATTGAAAAAACATTTTATATTATAGAGAATATTTTCTGTTTTATAGATGAAGTTTTAATTTCTAACAATGAGACGCACATCTACTATCCCTTCGAAAATTTTACGGGACGCCATCACGAGTTGGTTGACCGTTATGGAATATCCGTTTCACAGATGATAGCGGATATGAACCAATTGTCGTAACTACAATCCTGTCCCCTTTTCCCCAAATGTGACCTACCGAATTAGAATTATTGCCGGGTTCGTACTAACATGAGCAACACGATGGATGCCACATGTGGAGCAGGACCTGCTTACCCTTTCGGAGCACCTGAGATCACCCCCCATTTTATGGTGGAGTTCGTGTTGCTGAGTCTATAGTTTTCTATGTTGTATTTTTATGTACTGTTGTTTGTCTGTTTGTGTTTTTCTTTTTTAGCACTGGCGTTGTCAGTTTATTTTCGACTTATGAGTTTAAATGTCCTTTCGGTGTCTTTCGCCTCTCTTCTTCTACTAGCATCACAAAAAATATGCAATTATTTCACCCTATGTAGTACCAACTAATTTATTATACTTAATTCTGCTCCAAAAACAAAACAGATCTTAATGTGTTTTGTGTTTGATTACATCCCGTTATTCGTTCTTTAACATGTACTTTTAAAACAACTAGTATATAGAAACACAAAGTCAATATCACTTAACGCGATACCGAAGAGACTTGTCATCTTCACAAAAATGAAACACGACAGTGGAGTAAAGAAATCATGTCAGACCTGTCTTTCTGTATAAAGATAAATACAGAATGTTATATGACTTTTTCATCTTGCAAAAGTATTAAAACATTTAACTTTTCTACACTTTACACAAGTATTCCCCATTCCAAACTAAAAGACAAATTGAAAGAGTTGGTACTGCTTTGTTTAAAAAAAAATGGCCAACGTAGATACAAATATTTTGTCTTCGGGAGGGACAAATCGTACTTTGTGAAAAAATCATTCTGATTCAAACTGACTTTATCAAGATGCTTGATTTCTTGACAACATATTTATTACGTTTGAGGACGGTTTTTTTTAACAAACAATCTGCATTCACATGGGAACCAACTGCATGTGCTCCTTTTCTAGTCGACTTGTTGCTTTATTCACATGAGGCTGACTTCATACAAGAGCAACTTAGAGAAGAATGAAAAAAGCTAGCATTATCCTTTAACTTCACTTTCCGCTATATAGATGATGTCCTCTCACTAATTAATTCAAAGTTTGGTGACTATGTTGAACGCATCTATCCCATCGTACTTGAAATAAAGGATACTACAGATTGGTCTGCCTTATAAATTGGCTTACATCTAGAAATTGAATATGAGGGTCGTTTGAAAACAGAAATTTACTACAAATGAGATGATTTCAACTTCCCAATTTTAAACTTTCCATTTCTACGTAGCAACATTCAAGCAGCGCCTGCATTGGAGTATATATCTCCCAGTTGATACGATATTCCAGGGCTTGTGTTTCCTATTACGATTTCCTTGGTAGAAGGTTGTTCATAAGGAAGCTATTAAACAAAGATTCAACTGATGAAGTTGAAATCATGCCTTCGAAAATTTTACGGACGTCACCACGAGTTGGTTGACCGCTACGGAATATCTGTTTCACAGATGACAATAAATATGTCCCAATCGTCATAACCACAATCCCGCCCTCCATTTCCCAGAATGTGACCTACCTAATTAGACTTATCTCCGGGTTTGTACTTACAAGAGCAACACTACGGGTACCACATGTGGAGCAGGATCTGCTTACCCTTTCGTAGCATCTCAGATCACCCCTAGTTTTGTTTTAAAGGGGTTCGTGTTGCTCTTGCTTTAGTTAGAAGTGTTGTTCTTTGCGCTTTTTAATTTTTCAATATGTGTGTTGTTTATGCCTGTAACAGTCTCGTCTATCCTTTGTCATGATAAACATGTTTCAATTTCAAAATTTCACATTCGGTCAAGTTTCAGGGTAAAAAATTTTACATGACCGATGGTCAGGATCTGCTTACCCTTCCGGAGCACCTGAGATCACCCCCGATTTTTCATAGGGTTCGTATTTCTAAGTCTTTAGTTTTCTATATTGTGTTTTGTATACTGATGTTTGTATTTTGTGCCATTGTGTCGTTTAAGTTTGAATGTCTCTTTGGTATCTTTCGCCTCTCTTTAATATGGCATTTTTAATAGCACATCCGTATCAACCCTAGACACTTATATAATCACAAGAGCTCTGGTGTTGGGGTTTTATTGGTTGTGAGTTAGTATATACGGTGTGTGATATTGAAAAAAAATCTCATCATTCACAATTGATTCTAGAATTAAAACAGTATGTTTTTTTGTTAGAGTTTGATAACTCCTGCATGTGCAACCGTGACTGGTATCAATACCATCACGGGTGGCTGATAGTGAGTGATTTCCATTGATTGAATAACCAATAGAAAACTACGATGTGTTACATTTTGGTATGTTTATAAAGCTTCCTTGTTGATGGCTCCATCTGTCTGTTCGTCACTTTCTTTCTTACTTCGTCATAATAACGATAAGAAGATATAGATGCGAGCGTATGACAAATTGTTTTGAAGGAAGTATGTTTCTTTTTTTTTCTTAAAAAGACTGTTTTAGTAAGTTTCTTTGTTTGAGCAATACAAATAATAAAGGCATGACACCCGTCTCAATGAACTTGCAGTAAAACCAGTCTTCTTTCCACGTACATTGGCGAATATGAGTTATTTTGTGTTGTAATTCAATGAATTAACGACTCATTAACACTACAACGGCAAAAGTTGAAGACAAAGTCGTAAAAATCGAAAAGGAGCACAGCAAGGACTTGTGTAGTATCTCACAGTACAAATACTTTGAGCTTCTCATATAAAATTTCTGAAGTACTGTTTTGTAGTTTATCTTACCTCCTATACATTTCTAGGAATATAATTGGTTAAAAGCAACCGCGTGGAGACCGTGTATATTTCATATGGGGTTAGTATGTGTGGTTTATTTCAATACACGGTTTGTAGTGGTGTTACGTCCCTTTGTAAAAAAAAACCCGCGGTGTTGAGGAAAAAACTGAAAGTTTTCAACAGACGAAGAAATTGATGATGAACGATTGAAATAAATGCAGAAAAAACATTAAAAGCTAACAAGTTGTTATTGTTGGCATTTGTTTTTGTATAGACCAATAGAAGTAGGTTCTTAATATTGAAGACTTAATCACTTTGATAGGCCACTAGTCTAAATGCTACATGTTGTAAAAGTTGGTCGGTAAGATAATTTCGTTACACAGTGTGCTAGTGACCTAATACGATATATATATATGGGGTCAGTAAATTCCATATAGGGTGAGAGCTTCGCTTCGCTCTCACCCCATATGGAATTTACTCACCCCATATTTATCGTATTAGGTCACTAGTACACTATGTAACTAATAATATATAAGATCTAATATTATCTGAACACTCTTACACTATTGAAGAAAATATGTTAAAGCAAACTTGAATAAGCCCAGAAAATGGTGTGCGATGAGTAAAAAAAATATAGACTCTTATACCACTACTCTAGATAATTAAAAGTTTGAATAAATTCCGTACACTTGATGAATTCGATGAAAACTTGATAAGTTCTTCGTATGATATGAGATTGCGTTCATCGAAGTAATATTTTATCAAATTCATTTATATCAGTTCCACGCTGGACATACAAAGATATACCACAAGATGTACCGCATTTTTGTTCAACAACCAGCGATATGCATAACATTCAAAAGTTGACAAAATTACCATGTTATTCAACGCAATCAATTTTACCTAATTCCTAGCGAGAAATATTGCCTGACTACCTAGTATAACAGCTCATGTGTGCAGTCATCCGTATTCATTATAACAGCTCATGTGTGCAGTCCATCCGTGTTCATTATAACAGCTCATGTGTGCAGTCCATCCGTGTTCATTGCCAATTCAACTGTACTAAAGTTCTTTGGCAAGTTTTTCCTAAAAGGTACGTTTTGTGAATGTCCAATGATAGTCTGTTTGTTCTTAGTTGCTATGATATTCTTCTTTCAGTTTCTAGCGATCCTTCATAAGTAATTGACGATTATTCCCCGAGATATGTTTACCATATTGGGCACCTAACAGCAGTATAAGGTAATAAGGGTATTACCAATTTTATATTCGCCGGCATGAATAAATGGAGATGAGGAAGTAATACATTTATCTATTAGTCCCAGAAAAGCAAAACAAAAATCTAGAAAATGAGCATTTGGTCTTTAAAAATAGACAAGTTTTTAAACAATATATCAAGCTACAAATCATGTCGATTCTAGAATAAACGTGAATAAAACACGAATAGAATATGTGCAGATACTATCCAATGATCTGCTATCAACGTCAGATCCCTTCAGTCAATGACTAAATCCAAGCAATTCGACATTTTTAAGGGATTACTTCAATAAAACTTTTAATTATTATTACCATAACCGCCACACATTCTAAACAATCTTAAAAGGTATCTTCGAAATAATTAATAAATGTTCGATTTTTCATGTTCATGATGAATTTTAATTACCGGATATAAGTATGCAAATACTTAGTAAAAAGTAAAACCATATACAATTAGATAATTGGCAGATATTGCCCAACACAACTAATTATCTATTAGGTTGATCCAAGTAATCGCGTAATATTGATTCTAGCAATTTTAGCATCAACTATCATTTTTCCCGCTTCAAAATGAATGGGATCCATCAATTTTTAATGAACCCTCTGTTGGGAACATCAAACATTATCTCTCTATCGACTAGTTTACCCAATGGTGTAATTGTTTTCCGACAATTGACTGTTTCATTTCTATAGAGAATGTACATTTGACAATGTATTAAAAAGATAATCCTTAGAGAGGAGACGGATATTTTTTATGCCGTTTTATCCTGTTAAAAGTTTTAAACAAATGTTGATATGCAATTAATGCTGTTTGATGAATGGATCTTTTAAACCAAAGCAATGGTAAGGTTAAATTTATTACATATACAAGTAACGCAACACTAAATCTGAGGTCCCATGAAATACTTATTATTTTTTTTTTTTTTTTGCATTTATTAGTTTAACTCATTGAAATATGGGTATAAATGTTATAAAAATGACTTTGATATTAAAAATACAATCTTATAGACTTCCTTGTCAAAAACCTTGTTTCTGTTTACCGGTAGAGTGGGATTCAAATCGGTTCCTTCAGTAATGCCATTTAGAAAGGAGAAAGATACCAAAAGGGATATTCAAACTGAAGTCTAAAACAAACTGACAATGCCATGGCAAAAAAAAAACGAAGAAAGACGAAAAGACAAGGGTAAACAAATTCTGCTCCACATGTGGCATCCTTTGTGTTGCTTATGTAAGTACAAACCCGGTGATAAGACTAATTCGGCCAGTATGTGGTAACGACAATTGGAATATATCCGTCATCATCTGTGAAACAGATATTCAATAACGGTCAACCAACTCGTGAGGCGTCCGCAAAATTTTCGAAGGGATGATTTCAACTTCACCACCGAGAGATTGGGGTTAACAAAAACTTTTTTTTTATTATTCTAATTTTTGTTCAAGGATCAACACTTAAGAAATGGTTGATCTGCTAATAGCAAAGTGATCTGCAAAGTAGTAACATCAGATTTAAAGGTGGAAGTGTGTATGGTAATATCTCAAAACAAACTCTTTAGAACTCCTTACAATCTAACATCGGACTAAATAGGAAGAAGAAAAGGAAGAAAATGTTCTCAGAACATCCAAGCATTACGGCTTTTATCCAGCTTTCTCTATTGTTTGCCTTAAAGGAAGACCACAGCACAGTTCATGGTTTAAGTAAAGACAATCTCAAACGTGACATGGCCGAATCAGACTTATCACCGATTTTTATTTACATGAGCAACACTAAGGGTGACTGACCATGCATGTAGAACACGATCTGCCTATTCTCCCGGAGCACCTGAGATCCCCCGGTATTTCCGAAGCATTGGTTTTGTGTTGCGCAGTCTTTGGTTTTCTATGTTTTGTTTTGTAGAAACCTTTGTTCGTTTTTCGTAATTTGCCATGGCGTTGTCAGTTTGTTTTCGACTTATGATTTTAATATCCTTTTAGTATCATCCGCCTCTCTTCGACTTAGACTCTATGACAAATTTAAAGAGAGTTCAGAAAATGAGACATTATAACTATGTATCACTCCATAATGAAGATCAAAGAACGCGTGAAGTGATCAATCGTTCCTCACCTTCACCTTTCTGCAGGATTTTGTAAATTTGTCATAGATTCCAAGTCAAAGAGAGACGGATGGCGACCGTAAAATTCCCCACTTGGAACCCTTGGTTTAATAGCTTCCTTGTATTCAGTAACTCTCTATTAAGGAAATCATGATAGCAAATGCAAGCTCTGGAATATCGTATTAACTGGGAGACATATACTCCATATGCAGGCGCTGCTGGAATGTTGCTACATATAAAAGGAAAGTTCATAATTAAAATAGTCTCCTTTGTCGTAATGTTTTGTTCGCAATCGACCCTCATTGTCAATTTTTAGATGTAAATCAAGATTTTAGGCATACTTAACTGAATCTGTGGTATTCTTTATTTCAAGTTCGGTGGAATAGATGCTTTCAACATAGTCATCAAATTTTGAATTATTTAGTAAAAGGGACATCTCTTATATTGCGGAATGTGAGGTTAAAGGATAATGCTAGCTTCTTTTCATAAAACTATCCATAAAAACTAAAGGACATGGATGTGAACAATCGGTGCTACCTTCAACAATGAGCAAAGTTCATACCGTATAGCAAGCTTTAAAAAGGCCCCGGTATTACAAGATGTGAAACAATTAAGAAGAATAAAAAAAATCATCATCCTATTTTTACTAGAACACTGGATTACAAATTCCTAGTTTGGGATGGTACACAAAAATTCTGGACAGTGCTGTAACAACATATAACATAAGAAAAAAAAAAATACCAATCAGTTGGGAATGGCTTAACTCGTTATTAACAGATCGGTACATATAGCACAAACACATAAAAAAAAAACGTTACGCACGCTGTTCCTACAACCCATAGGATTTAAAAAAGAATCTTCGACTTTTCCTCCGCAAAACAAAAAAAAAAAAATGTTAGCAAACATTAACCACTATAAAAACAAATTCAGTATATGTTTTCAATAATGTTCGTATAGCTCTTGGTCATATGCTTAGTAATATCTAGTATATTTGAGGATTAAAACAACAAAGCTATATGTGAAAAAACGGATGTCCAACGTTACATTTTTGAACAACTGTTTTAACTCTTATGTATAGTGATCCTATTTCTTATTCTCTGATCTTCCTGAAACTTGGCGAGAACAACGACATGTGTCGGTTCTTTGTGACAATTAAGTCATTATTTTGTCAAATTTCATTTGACTCGGCGGTTGCATATTAAACTGGAATAAGAAAAATGTCCAACGACGTTTTCCGTTGACTCAACGACTGAAAGTGTATTTTATAAGTAGATATAGCAGAAAATGTCTAAAAATGGTAAGATAATAATAACATCTACCAATAGTACAAATATTTGCCTCATTGTTCGTGAGTTCAAATATTGTAGATTCTATAAAATCTTCGCTTTACAGTCGTTTTTCAAGCGGTAGTCATTTTGTCCAAGTTGATATTTCATTTGTCAAAGCAATTAATGCGGGTTTTTTTACCTGATATTTCAATAAGTTATTTATAATTTATAAAAACAAAAGTTAGATACACGAAGAGTACACAATGCCTAGATTTGTTTTTTATTAACTACATGCTTGGGTCTGAAAGGAATAAAATGCTACGAAACATTACAAAACGGTAGTCATTTTGTCCAAACGGGTGAAAACGTCGAAAAATCCGAAAAACGCTTATTTCCGACGTTGCATGTGCTAAATTTGTTTCAATTAAATGTTCCTGATAATAAAAACAAATCGTGTGGTGAAATTTGGAAAAAGATATTGAAGGCTGTCGAATAGTGCATATTGACAAACTCGGAACATAGATTCGATACAGATTAAATTTTGATATTTTATAACCATTTTTAGCTTTTAGTGATTTATTGTTGCTAGAGGCAAATGTTTGATTCAGAATGCGAATGATATGTACAACTTTTGCAAAGACAATTTGGAGACACTAAGACAGTCCTCTATATGTTAAGGGTGAATTTTTCGTTATGTTGCGGAAGTACCCTGAAATAGGTATAGATCATTTAAAGTCGCCCCTTCAGTAAGGTACATTCACCAAATTAAAAGTACAAGTACTCGAAAAGTTTAAGTTCGCGACTTGTCCTGCTACTCATGTTATAACTGTCGTACTGAAACTAATTCATGTACTAGCGAAGCCAGACCTTTTCGTCAAAATAAACTTGTGCATGAAACGGAGGTAACTGAAAGACTACTTGCAAACATCGACGAAAACAGTTTCATTGAAATAATACAACCCGGGATTGTATTACCCGTTTTTACGTACAATCCAGGAGATGATTTCTAAAATTTAAAAAGTACATCAGACGTTAGAAAACTTAAGCAAGAAACTATAGATGACTGGGGAAATAATTTTGAAGCTGGGGTTCAAATAATTGAAGGACTGTATTTCGACAAATTGTGTGTCAAGGAAAGTACAATTCATAATCAAGGGTAAAAAAAAAATGAATTACTTGCAGAGTGTCGGATATATTTGTATTGGGGTTGAATCAAGATATTGAAAATTTACAATGACACATGATATGCACCATAAAATTTTAGCAGCCTGTGATTAAAGTTTTGTGCTTCTAAAATTATGTTTTAATTTATTTATAGAAAACTGTATATTTAATAATTCCGTCCCATTTTGCCTTCCTACATTATTTACGACAATACAGCATTTTAAGGGGAATTAAGGGTAAACATTGTTAATCGATTTCTACAACTTGAGGTAATTCATGGTAAAAATACATCACAAAAATAACAGAGACAGAATCAACCCATAACATATAAAAAAAACAAACGAATAAAACTAACAAATTTAATTAATCGACGTCAAAATTTCCGAAAACACTCTTTGACGTCCCATTTTTGGTGTAACGTCGTGTTGTAGGAACATCGTGCACAACGTTCAAACACACAGTATCGATCAAACACTGTTCATCTATACATATCAAAGAATTTAGAACGTGTTAAGTAATGTGTGGTAACGAAACCACTGACTTATATTTTTTTCTCTCAGTTACACACAGATTACATTCATTGAAATGTAAAATATCATAAAAGCATGCAGGCATTAATCTAACACATATAAAACAACTATTATGAATAAGTAACTCTTTGTATCTTTTCAGTTAACACTACACAAATCAACAACGGATGTATCTTTCTGCAGTACAATTTGACTGTGAATGATACAGGCTTACACGTATGTGAAAACACTACAGCAGCAAACAGTGTTGATGAAGGCGCATATGACGGAAGATTCTTGTACATTATTGTAGTGTTGTGTTTCTATGGTCTTAGCATGGTGCTGTTAATGGTTAAGTATGTTCGCCGAGAGGAAGAGGAAGTGTCTTTAGATTTTTATTACACGGAATACGTGAAACGAGAACAGTTCAGTTGTGCCCGTTATCAAAACAAACTATTGTTAGAGAAAACGAAAAAGAATGCCATAGTCTTTAAACTTTTGACAGAAAATAAGAAAATTAATGCATAGTTATTATCAAAACTTCATTTTGAGATCGGCAACTTTTCTCAACGTTAAAAACGTCAAACTATGCAGTACAAGTGAGGCGTAAGGCGAGGCTTTTTATTAGGCAAAGTATTGCCTAAATTGGTTGATTACAACACAAATTTTTAACTTTCATATCGTGTGGTTCTCTTTTTTTTTAAATTTTCTCTCACTATCCTGCTTTCTATGCACGGATTTGATATTTTAAACATTTATAGCCGTTTTGTAATGACTAAAAACATAATATTCTTATTAAACCAACCCGATGCTCAAGAGCCATAGATATTTTACATGTGTCGTCTATCCGTGAGTCCATATTCAATTCCGGTGTGGAGTATAAATTTGTTATGCTAAGGGTATTTTCTATTTTTTTAAATTGAAAGCCTTAATGTTAGCTAAAATTGCATTGAAATTGAAGCAGCGTTTTACAAGAAAAAAAGCCTTTAAAAAGTATTCAGTTTTCTTTATATAACACATACAAAATTAAAAATAAAAAAAAAGTACAAGAGCAAACGGATTTGAGTTATCCCCCGTAGGACATTGAACATAATCATCGATGATGAGCTAGTTTGAAACCCAGGAAATTTAAAAAGGTTGTTAACTTCTACGTCATTTGGTCTATGGTAGAGAGTTGTCTCATTGGCAATTATATCATATCTTCTTATTTTGATAGGTTGATGTTCCCTATATCTGTTTCACTCACATGGCCAAAAAGAACAGTTTTCAATAGTTTTACATGTATCCGTGAAAATTAAGCGCTACATGTTGCTGTCGTAGGCATTTTTATATAGATTAGTAAATTGTACATGTTTTTGTAAGATTTTGAATCGAAGGACGTCTCTAACCAACATATATTAAAGTTTAACTGAACAACAATAAATATCTTTATTTTCAAATTTCAACATAATTTAGGTTTGCTTGATGATATTCTTTGTGAACATGTTTGGGACAAATACTCCAAATTTGCTAAAATCTGTCAAAGTTGCTGTTTTAGGGTATCGTAACTTAGCGTTTATATTCTGGTTATCTGTTTAGAAATAAACCTACATATTAATTCTAACTTTACATACGATACTGTGAATTTTAGCAAAGAGTGAGAGACTTTTTTTAAATGCGCAGGTGAAATAAATTCACCTAGTTTTATTAAATTGAAATAAAGCTTTTTTGGTAACACATTTAGCTTAAATCCTTTCGTTCAACTTCTGGAGTTTCATTCGTGTTAGCGTTGTAGCCAAACCAATGCATACTTGTATTAGGAGTCAATCAGTTTTGTAAATATAAGTGCCCTTTAGTGAAATTACATCAGAACAAAACAGGAGACTAGCTAACGGGCTGATTTAAGATAATAACATTCATCGAAGCCTTTAATGACAACGACAACGCACTACACCCACTGGATTGGAGGCTTTTGTTATGGGACATGCACATAACGAATGTGGCGGGTTAAACATGTTTGTGAACGCTCAATCCTCTCCTAACTTAGGATAGTGGTGTTACAGCAAAATATTTAAAAAAAAAACTATAAAGCAGTCAGAAAGGGCTTGACTCATCCGATCCGTACTTATCACAAAAATACTACTAATATAAACACAATACAGTTACTGAAATCTCAGAGTTCAAAGCCATGCAATTTCAGCTAAGTAAATATACCGTTTTTCTCATAATAAAATATCAATCATTTTACTTCCAACGTATTTAGTAAAAGACGTCATAAGTCATACCCTTCTATATATATATACGAAGTTGCGAGACAAGACAAGACGGCACTGCAGGATTATGCATGTGTACACTCTTCAGTGGCAAAGTAAGATTATAGCTTTAAAAAAGGCAACTCCAAGGTTCAGGAACTAAAATTACCGTGGTTTTATGTTAATTTTGATATGATTTTTTTTTTTTACTATAGCAGTTAATTTCTCTTAGTTCTTGAAATCCTAGTCTAAATCAAATAAAAGCGCATGACACATCTTTCCATATAATACGCAATATGTAATATAATTTAAAAAAATCATATGTAATTGTTAACGCCAATAGGACGGAAATCGACATCGCGATCAAACAATAACAAGATACCCGAAAGTCCAGATACTATGACATACATTTTATCATTATCTATGGTTACTTTTTATTTCTGAATTACTTTTAAATTAGTATTACACAGATTTGAAAGGAGTGCATAACCACTGACTTTTGTTTGCAATTTATTTTTTAAAATTCCAGAATTTTCTCACCAAGTTCCGTGTTTAGAGGACGAAAATGACTGTATGTTCCGAAGGAGTTTGGTCTTATTATATCTGAGATAACGCATTTTCTTTAAATTGTACTCTGATAACATACTTACGTACTAAGTTTTGAACTGATGAAATAGCTTTAAATATATATATTTAATACATTTTATTCTCATATTTCATGTTATGTTACGTATTATATACCTACTATTAATGGACGAACAACTCTGCTATAATTTTGATCTTGTTGATTTTCTAATCCTAACTTGAGTTTTACTTCCGATATTTTTTTTTAAATTCATGATATTTTACTTAACTGAAACAGGCTATAGTTGTCTTACCTTTAAATTCTGCACTTCAATGAAGGCGTCTGCTCACATAGGTGTTTAGCATAATAGGAAAGTGAAGAAATGTCTAAGAATGTTGCTGAATCAAGCATTTATTAAGGCATAATTAACAAAAATGATTTTCATCAGACGATTTTGCTACGTTGTGTTATTTTTTAGTTTGGAATTTAAATTCTCGTTAGGACAAGGTGAGTTTCTTATCATTTTACCAGGTAAATCAGATTATATGTGCAACAATACAATTATTATTTCATAGGCGAAATTTGTTATATCAGATGTAAAATGGACTGCATTTTTAAAATACTTTTCTTTCCCTACATGTGCGACTGAAATACGTGTAAATGTTGATTTTGCATCGTATTGGTATATTAAGCATTGAAGCATCTGACTTGATCTCTTATAGCCTAAGCTTTATGAACGAAAAAGTAATTGTTTAATCTGTTGATATTTTGAATTCATTTTCTTTTTTTGTCAGCATTTGCTAAGAATAGTATTTATCTAACGAAGGGTGAGTGAAAGTGCTATTTTTTTCAATTTCATATGTATATATATGAACGAACATATAAACACCTTTTATGAAAATATAAATATTGTGTGATTTTTACTTTTTAGAAGAGGACATTTTCAGTTTCAGAATAAATAACTTTATATTTTTTGCACGATTTTTAAAAATAAACAATATATGATAATGTATATTTGTGTTTTGGTCTATAGCATGTCAATATATTTAGATGTCTCGGCATGTAATGGTTTTTATTTTTGCTACCTTTTACACTTGAATTATTAAAGTTTATCAACCTTTATGTAATTCTACTGTGATAAACTATGTTGGTCATACAGAAATCGTTTGATATACTTGTTTGATATAGATAAACCACAAGAATTAGCTTACACAAGAATTAAAGGATATATTAATGGAATCCGCATAGTTTAAACTTTTTTTTTTGGTATAATTTATGTTTTTTCAGAATATACTTAGTACATTTCCGCTGAATATTTAGCTGGTGAATTTCCAGGCCTACAAGCTTATTAATACATGACGTTATGTGATATGGTCAAACAATTAAACCAATCTGGACCCTCAAGACGAAATGTCTGGATTCAGTCTTCTTCTTGTAATTCACTTTTTTCAACTATACGAGTTCAATCAATACGGCTCTAAATGTACGCTTGTCTGAATTTTTCTGCATCTGCAGAAATTCTCGAGCCCAAAGTTTTGAAAGCCAATGATATAAATGTAATACTAGAGGAGCTATATGCCGGATCAAAAGGGATCTAATATATATATATATATATATAGTTAAATCCATCTCAGGTCACTTTTGCTTGAGGGAATGAGAATCTTATTATATAGTTTGGGATTTTTATTTTTTCAATATGTGTTGTTTATACCCATAACAGTCTTGTCTAAAAATGTGTTTCAATTTTAAAAATTCCTCATTCGGTCAAGTTTCATCGTTAGAAAATTTGGTTTACGAAATTGGTGATGTCTTTGGGTTATATAAGAGGTTATGTAATGGTCAATAACCAATCTGCTATTTCGTGACGCCTAATTACTTAATATAACTTATTAACGTTTTTCTATGAGTAACACGACGAGTGCTATCCCCCTACCCCCTCAGGGCACATGAGAATTTCCCGGTTTTTGGTGGGGTTTGTGTTGCTGATCTTTAGTTTTCTAAACAAAGTTGTGTTTGTGCACTGTTTTTTTTTGTCTTTTGGTATTTTTCTTACTTTACTTACTTACTGCCCTGTACACCATTGGCGTGAAGGGCAGTAACAAGGATTTTCCACTTGTGTCGGTCGTTGGCAGTTTTCTTTAATGTGCCCAATGTCTGTTGATGGTGACTAGCCTCTGCCTCTACAGTTCTCCTCTATGTCATTTTTGGGTCATCCTCTCTTCCTCTTACCTTCTGGGGTCGGGAGTGTTTTCTTAGTGATTTCCTCATTCTTTTTCCGTAGGACATGTCCAATCCACCTCCACTGTCTTCTCATTATATAGTTGTGGCTATATCGTCTTGTTGGAATCTGGTGAGAAGGTTCAGGCTCGAGATTTTTTGTGGACAATTTTTGGTATCTTTCGCCTCTCTTTGATTTCTTAATAATTTCTAAATTTAATGATAGGTATGTAATAAATAATGTCAATGCTGAAGCACGGACTGCTGAACTGATCATCATACCATCGGGGACTATAGCAGTCCACCAGCAGCGATATCGACCGAGCACTTCAATACTTATTCAATGGTCAATTTTACAGGCCGTGAATCTTGCATCTTTTATATCCCCTCTCAACCCACTTCTTTTATCAAAATGTTCCCTAGCTTTTTGTCTGAATAGGGAAGATCTAAGCAGTTTAAATTTTTGAAATGCTATTCTAGAATATCCGAAAAATGTCTTCTTCTTTTGTATTATAATTAGTATAGCACAACGAACGACACACAACATTAACATGCCATTTACATAAATGAGGTGTTATTATCATAAAGATCATCGAAGGTATAGTAAAGACATCATGTAAAGTAAACCCACTAGAGAGTCAATATCACACTGCTTAAAATATATGATAGGTCAATATTATACAGTAGCATAATGATTATTAAGTTGTTCAACTCAAGACTCAATGGAGACGAAAACAAGTTGAAGTACGTTGACTGAAGGCCTTTGTTTTGGGCAATCTGAATAAAATTCAGACCTATATTAACTCGCGTGCTCGTACTCATATGAGTATAACGAAATCAGAGAACTATATTTGAATTAGATTGTGTTTTGGATTGAAAAAAATAAAATACCAGGTACCTCATATGTGTGGTCTCATCTTCGTGTGACTTGGCATTTTGTTGGTAAGGTCTATGTCTGAAATATAAATCTTCACAGGGTTATGTTCCGGTCGTCCTCCAGTGTTTGGGTAACTGCCACATGCATTGCTACCGAACTATGATCCTATACCAAAACGCCCATGTTATAAATTTTCTTAGTAAATATATGCACATTATTAATCTTTGTATTTATATAAAGATAAGGAGATGTGGTATGATTGCAAATGAGACAACTATCCACCCAAGTTCAAATGAAGTGGATTAAGCAATTATAGGCAACCGTACGGCCTTCAAAAATGAAAAAAAACCCATACCGTTATAGTCGGCTATAAAAAGCCCCGACATGAAACCAATTGAGAAAAATAACGGCCTAATTTATAACAAAACAATTTAAGAAAAACAAATATGACAGACATGAACCAACGACAACCACTGAACTACAGGATCCTGACTTGGGACAGGCACATTAAAGATATGGCGGGGTTAAACATGTTTGTGAGCGCTCCACCCTCCCCTAACCTGGGACAGTGGTGTAATAGCACCTTATATTCAGCCATCAAACATGTATGCAACAAACATTCTCAAAACCAAATTTTGTCAGAATGTTATATCTACTTGAATTTAAATGCTTTAGATAAATTTGATTTAACTAGGAAATAAATGTCTGCAATAACAGATATATAGGCCTATATTTCTTTTCGAAATGACATTTTTTCAGTAAAGATTTTATTTGCCGTTTTACAACAGGAAGCAAATGTCTGAAAAATACGAAAAAACATTGTAACAGTTAAGTAAAATGAATCTATTGACTTGTGCTTGGTAAATAAAAAATATGAATGAAAAAAAGATCACTACATTTGTACTACCACCGCCCCCCTTTCCTCCCCATTACCCCGGCAGAATCTATTTCTCCTTTGAAAAATAAAATTGTAAGTAAATTAAGCTAAGGTCCGTTTTATTATTTTCCATCTTAATGTATTGTAAGTTTATGAGCGCAATAAATTTTTCTTGTAAAAACTCATCAAAGATCCCAGGATTATAATTTGGAACGCCATATGTCTACGTAAGCTCGTCAGTGGTGCTTTCACAAAACATATAACACGAAGTTGAATAGTATTTAAACAGAAACTTCCAAAGCGTTGTGCCAAGTACGCACGTACGTACAAATACGGCTACGACAATATATGCCTGTGAGTAACTCAAAACCCTAAGTGTTTCGAATAATCCAACATTTTACTAGGAACGGTAAACTCTACAGAAAATTAACCTTGATATCATTATATAATATATTTCATGATTAAAAAAGTTAATTTTCAAATGCCATGCAGTTCGCAGCCTACACGTGCCACCGTCTCCTTTTGTGTTTTATTTATAAAAGTCCCTTGTGAACATACAGTGAACAATGCAATTGTGTAGTAGCGAACAACAAGGTATGCCACATATGTTCGTATGTTTAATTGTCCCCATTTTAACCCATACAGGTCACAAATTTTGATCGAACCTGTTAATGACCATGGCCTCGATTTTAATGACCGTAAACGTTCTTAATATAATTAGTTATATTATGTCATGCTAGTATTGTGTTAAAACAGGAACAGTTAATCCAACCTCTAGATCGAAGGCTGTCAAATGGCATGCATTGCCGCAAGTAACTTTTATACCTGGGACCCGCAATAGATCATGTATTTGTCAAATTCTGTATCATGTATATATTCAACGTAGAAATAAAAACAAGAACAGAAAATAATAAAAATACTTCGTGATAAAAGATTTAATATGGCTTTACTATCTGAAAGATCGTGAAATGGTTATACCAGATTATATTCGCCTTTATTAGTTCACGTGGATTAGTTTACTACTCTAGTGAAAACATTCTTTCCCGGAAAAGATGACGGTATTGGTCTATCGTTTAGAATATAACTTTCCGGTTTCATCATTTTTCAAGGCGAATTTATTTATTGGATCGAAGATGCAACTTGAGTCTTGGGTAAAGAACGAATAAGACTTTTAGAGTGGGGAGGCTTCGTCTTAAATTATAAAAGAGGCGATGATGTTAACCCCTCAAATGATAGTGCAAATCATAGCACAGGGCATGGGAATCTTATTTTAGAACGTACATGATTCATGAATGTGCTCCATAGACCATACCCAATGAAAACACAAGAAAAAACCGAGGAAAAAACATTGTATTTTCCTATTGTTTTCATTGGATAAAGAGTACTGTTTTCTTTGGATAAAGAGTACATTTCACTCTGAAATAAAATTCCTGAGCCCCTATATTCTATAATTGTCTCATTTGCAGTCTTCACAATAGACTTTTGAATCTAAAGGCCCGAAGCTGAATTTTAAGAAAATTTTAGTTAGTTTATATT